AGAGTTTCTTATATTTCTAAATATAAATAATATTTATTATTTATTTACACTTTAACCTAATGCTTTGCATTAATGTATAGTAAATGCGCTTGACTGTTTGCTGGTTGTTGTAGATGTTTATTTATATATACTGTATATACAAGAGAACAGTGTTTACTTGTTTATGACATAAATTTGAAGATAGAGCAACAGTTTCACTATATCTACACACAGGGGTTGATTTACTAACCTTATAAACACACCACAAACATGTATACACCTCTGTAGTGTGTTCCCTCCCAGCATGATCTATGGGTGGAATCTAAACACCTTTGTAGTGTGTACACACCCAGCAGGTGTGTTGTGCAAAGCCAAGCATGAATTGCAAGGTGATGTTGTGTAAATTAGCTCTATGTTGTGTTGCTTGCGTTGATGAATGCAGGAATGTAAATGCATGAGCTAACCATTTTTGTCTAAACTGTGAAGCAGCATTATATATGCATCATGTGCATGATTTTCCATATATGGCATTAGTGGAAATATGCTTCTAGAGACTTTTTGGTTGATAAATATGTTTTGCTGTGTGAAAATCACACGCACCTGGTGCGTGCGTGTGTTTAGGTTAGTAAATCACACCCACAGTGTTGCCATTGCTTTAGTACATATAAAAGCAACTGGGGCTCAGACTTGCTCTTACTAGCAGCCTGCACCTTAAAGGAGCAAACCATTTTGGAGTGATTGTGGACTTGCTTTATAACTTTGGTAGGAACTCTAGATTTTAAACTTGATGATATCAGTGACAAATGTTCATCGTTATGTTCTCTGTTTTGTGCCTCAAATTGTTTTGGTACTATATAAATAGGTTACATAAAAAAATTGGTCCTCTTGTCTGTGTTGTTATTGAATATGACAAGACAGGCTGGAAACCTGATGAACCTGAGAACAAAATGGTGGATGGAAGGGACCGCTGTAGCTCTGATAAGGTTCTGTCTACCTCAGTCTACAACATAAAAGCAATACAGACTCCAGGCCACAGCTCCACGCTCCAAAGAATCTGTATTGCTTATGTTGTGGATTGAGGTAAACCCCAGCACTCCCTTTCATTCACCATTTTGGGCTCATGTTGAGCTGATCTCGAGCCTAACTTGTCACACTCAATAACAACGTAAACAACTTTTATTGCTTCTGTAATTGAGTATGTCTAATTTTACCTTTTATAGGTTCCGCATGATGTGTCAAACGATTATTGCACACAAGCTTTTTGACTACGTGGTACTTGCATTTATTTTTCTCAACTGCATCACCATTGCTTTGGAAAGGCCTCAGATTGAGCACAAGAGTACGGTGAGAATCTTCTTTAATATCTCGCAACCTGCGTGATAGAGATCTGTATGGGATGATTAGGGATCTGTATGGGATGATTAGGAAGTTCAGGTCCAGAGCTACTATAAATTGTAATAAATCCTGCATGTTTGAGCTTCACGGACCTGGTGAGATAATGCAGGAATTTGCCATGCTGAATTCTTTGCAACCAAATTGCACTGCATAGCCAATAATGGAGGCTTTGATATATGCCAGCAGCCATTTGTCAGTGCGTGTTGGAGTAGTTCAGGGGTAGCTGATAATCTGTGTAGGGAGAGTTAGTTGCTAAACTGTTCAATGTTTGGCTAAATTACTGTGGATTTCATGTCAAGCCTCATGTTTTCACAGTTCAGAGACAGTGTTTTGCATTTGCTGTATGTATTTGTTGTATGTATTTGTTGTTTAACTGCTGGACCCCCCTCACCCCTACACACACACACCCTTGCATTCTTTTTTGTTTCGTTATTTTGACTGGACTGACAGATGATTGGAGGCAGAACCTGTACTAATCTATCGAGTGGCACTGCTCCACAGATACAAGCCTGTTGTTCCCAGGGTAGGGTGACAGAGCTCTGCATTGTTAGCCTTTTTTCATTCAAACTATTTATATGTAGGTTTTTATACAAACAAAACACATTGTCACATATAAAGCACAGTGAACATACCAGCTTTGTCAATTAAACAAAACACAAGATGACACCATTCAGTTTAAGGACATTGGCTTGGAGGACTTATGTGGGTAACCCCTGTGTTGGAATGCCAATTTATCCTTTTGATAACATAAAATTACCCTGAGTACACCATTTCTTAAAAGTAGGCGGGTGAAGAGACATTTCAAGGCTATTAACTTTTTTGCTAACAGATAAAGCACAATTGAAGTTTATTAATCAAGGTTATAACTTCCTGCCATTAGCAAAAAGGTTTGAGACATCCAGACACCATATGAATCAAAATTTACAGGTTCCATGACAGCTAGGACAAGCCTGAGAATTCCTCCAGTGCCAACGAAACAATGTTTGCAGACTATGATATATCCTATGTAAAAAGAACAGTTGAATTATTCTCTGTGTAGGGGATAGAGATCATCTAGAAGCAGTTTCCAGCATCATCTGCTCATGCTTCTCTGTATTATGACATGGGTCCTACGCAACCCTTTTACAGGGTTGTTTCAGCTTAGAGGCTTGACTACCAGATAGAGTGTCATATAACAGAAATCTCCTAGTGCTTGCTTGCATCTCCATATTAATGAATATAGATTTAATAAGAGTGAGTCCCCAACTCGAGTATATTTACTGAATCTAATACTACTTCATTACAAAAATATTCCCTAAATTGTATTTGTTCTCCTCTTTCTTCTGTAATTAACAATACTCTTCTTTTCTGCAGGAGAGGATGTTCCTCAGCATATCAAACTATATTTTTACTGCTATCTTTGTAGCTGAGATGACATTGAAGGTATGTGGTTAAATGAGGATTCAAATCCCTATTATGTATTTATTAATACTTGTTCTATCTTCACAGAAGAGAAAATCTGTTTATCTTGTTCTGTTTCCAACATAATATATCTGGTTTCTTTGGTTCCTCTAGGTGGTCTCCTTAGGATTTTATTTTGGAGGCAGGGCATATCTCCGCAGCAGCTGGAACATTCTAGATGGTTTCCTTGTCTTGGTATCAATGATTGATATTGTGGTGTCTGTAGCATCTGCTGGAGGAGCCAAAATTCTTGGTGTTCTGAGGGTGCTGCGACTTCTACGAACATTACGGCCTCTAAGGTAAAAAAAACAACCAGATATTATATGCCGTTTCATTAGTTGTTAAGCTAAATACTCACTTAAAACACAATAACTTTGCAAAGTAATTTGCATACTACCCCAGCTGTAATGTATGGCTTTAGATTATAAAATGGGTGACAAATTCTCTTAAGATCCTACAATTCTACAGATGGCCACGCTGAGCTCTTTTCCTCATATAATCCCATGCACCTATATTTCACCCACCAATTTACAGAGCTGGCACTCCTACATGATTTTAACTTTTTGCTTTTTGTTTCGCAAACTCTGTATTAAATCTGGATTCTTCTGAAGGAAAATAATATTGAATTTATTACCAAGGGGCATTCCTCTCATTCCTTAAAGGTGTCTGAAAGCAAAATGTTTTTAAGATACACACACACATATATATATATATATATATATACATATATTGGAAAAGAGGCAGTCAACACCTGAGGTAGTCAAACAGTATAGCTTTTATATAATATAATAATTGTCTGAGCAATAAAACAAATTCATCATGCTGCAACCATCTGTCCTTAAAAGAAAAAGTGTGCCCTCATTCTCATGATAATCAGCATCCAGATATGCCAGCTGGTACCCCCATAGCAAAGGCGTGCTAAACATGTATCCCTACTACTATGCTGATAACAGTTCACATACCCATCAGCTTTGAAGGATGTTTTGAGAGGGGTTGCCCCAAAACATGGGGGTTCCCACCTAAAGCACCATTGCATCATGCTGATGGCCACTGGGCTCTAACAGTGTGTTGTACAGCAGAGAGCGGATATCAATATCCACTCTTCATTATAAAGGGCCTAAATAAAAATGTTTTCACACAAGAATAACACAACTCCTACCAGTTGAATCCAATTAGAAAACATGTGAATTTTAGTTGAAAGCTGTGGACATTTTTAGTTAAAATATGCTCTTTTTTACAGTGTTGATTATTAGTGAAAACCTAATGCTGGATTTTGAGAACTGGGACTTTAACTTTCCATGTTACAATAATAATCAGTGTGCTGCGTTAGCATACCAGACAATATCAGTTAGGTATAAATAATGTTGCCTTTATATTGTATCTAAAAGGAAGCCTACATAATCTAGCACTTATTACTTACATATTTGAATGGGTCAGTATGACATTATACATTTTATCTTGTTTTAATAGTTTGCTATTGGCAACAGAGGAATTAATTACTGTCTCTTTTCCTTTGATTCAGAGTAATCAGCAGAGCTCCAGGCCTGAAACTGGTGGTGGAAACCTTAATATCTTCTTTGAAACCAATCGGAAATATTGTCCTGATTTGTTGTGCCTTCTTCATTATTTTTGGGATCCTTGGGGTGCAGGTACTAGAACTTGCATTATTTCTTAAACATCAGGACCTATAACTGGATTCTTAACTACTGTCAGGGATATTCACAAAAAAGGTGAAGAGTTTGGAGAAGGCAGGAGAAGTGAACAATCTAGACCAACATAGCTGATTTGGAAAAAATCTCCAATTCAGCTCACTTTCCAGTTCAGCTATGTTGTCCTAGATTGTTCCCTTCTCCTGCCTTCTCCAAACTTGTCACCCTTTTGTGAATAACCCTGTAAATGTTACAGTTATGTAATTTTCAAAAGTTAAATGGAGTTATTTTTTAAAAACAGTTTTGGTATACTGTTTATTTCATTTACTTGGAGGCATGTAAATATACAAATAGAACAAACTTTTGTCTCTTGATTCTGTCTTTTAATTCCATAGTGCATGCTTGAAAGATAATCAGACAATTTGCAATTTAAACTAATATTGCAGGTTCGTGTTTAGGTCAGCCACACAATGACTTTTTATGCCTGCAGAGTTACTATGATTGTTGGGTGAGTGTTAACTAAGAAAGAATATCTAGAATTATTTAAAATATCTCTAATTGCTCCCTTTCATCTATTAAAAAGAGAAAGGTTGCTTCACTGTGTGTGTGCACATCAAACATTGATCTGCCCTTGTATGTGTGAGCTTGTTGACCTAAATTTAAGCAAAGAAAGCAGCAGGGTCTAACAGATCTGTAACTACAAGTTACCTGCTATACTATATCTGTAGAAAATAATGTTTGTTTTCAAAAGACCTGAGACTTGGATATCAGTCATATTTTTTATTAGAATGTTCTCTAGGACTACTGTGAGACTTTACCCCGGAGTGTTAACTGACTGTTAGTTGATGGGCGATTCAGGCAGTTCTGTGTCACTCTTACAGAGATTATCTTACAGAGGGAATCCTGTAAGACAATGACACAGTCGTAAGAATAGGGAAGGGAAGATACTAATATAAGGGCTTCTATTACAACAGATCTTCCCAACACATCTTCAAAGGTATGTGTATTTTATGCACCAGATACTCTAATTACCTTTTAATCAAAACTAAATTATTTGTTTGGGTGGTGTTGTTATTGATGGGTTCTACTAAAAATACTCTGTACTCTACTAAAAAAATACTGTTTTCAAAACTCTGCTTTGAAAACATTTGTACAAATACATTTGTAACAGTGCAGCCATGACTTATGGAGTATCATAAGTCTTCCTTTCTGCTTTGCTGAATAAGTGCATAAAATAGTTTGGCATACTTACATGTTTCTTTTTCTCACTTTTTTTATGTACATTAGCTTTTTAAAGGTAAATTTTTCTACTGCCTTGGTGTAGATGTTCGAAATGTTACCAACAAGTCAGACTGTGAGGCTGCCAATTATAAATGGGTTCATCACAAGTACAACTTCGATAATCTAGGGCAGGTAAGGCTGAATATCTATTTTCAACAATAGCCCTGTAATGTGTTATGGGGATTTAAAATTCTACTGATTGTACAATTATTTCTTTTCATTCTAGGCTTTAATGTCACTTTTTGTTTTGGCATCAAAAGACGGATGGGTTAATATTATGTATAATGGTCTTGATGCAGTCTCTGTGGACCAGCAGGTACTAAATCTCTCTGAATCAGTTGAATTTTGTCAATGAGACATTTTTGTGGCCTATTGTATTAAAACCTCTATCCAAACTCAAAACAGCATTCACCAATACAAAATTATATCATGATATTGTAATTAGAGTTTGTTGAGGTACAGTTTACTGCTTCATCTTTGACGAGCCTGTATAAAATGTTGTATTCCCAGCACAACCCTAATGACAACAGTTTGTCTCAACAAAGCTTTAGTAATTACAGCAACAGTTTACAATTACTACTACAACAACAACAACAAAAACAACAGTAATAGTTATGTATTGTTATATGTAACACTTCTGAGATAAATTGTAGGACTGTCTAAAAAAATGTTGTGACTTTTGTTTTTTTTTCTAGCCCATTACCAATCACAACCCGTGGATGTTGCTGTATTTTATCTCCTTCCTACTTATTGTTAGTTTCTTTGTACTCAACATGTTTGTGGGTGTAGTAGTAGAGAATTTCCATAAGTGCCGCCAACATCAAGAAGCAGAGGAAGCCCGAAGACGAGAGGAAAAGCGCCTGAGACGCTTGGAAAAAAAAAGAAGGAGTAAGAAAAAGCCTAAGTGTTCGGCGGTCGGTTCGTAGGCACTATAACTTCTTCCTATCTTCTTCCTCCCACCTCCAGTGCCACTATTACTGCCCATGATTTACCATGCACATTTAATACTCAATTTCTAGGCCTAGAACAACAGTTTATTTTAATATCCCAATGTCTACGTATCCAGGATTCCCCATTGTTATAAATTGTAAACATCTGCTAGCTTCAGTTTGGCAGAGAGCTTTATACACTTTCGGGTCAACCATATTGTTGATCAAACCAGTAAACTGTATAAATATAAAATATAATAATGGCGAATACCTATTTTGATATTAGCTTATCATGGTTTTAAAAATAATACTTTTTATGCCAGTGATGTTTAATTAACAATCCTGGCCTACAGTTGAGTTGTGGTCCTGCCAGCGTGCCCTTTGGCTCTCTCAAAGCATAGGTAAAATATATATCTATTAGTTTTTCTCACCAATTTCTAAGGTAATTTTGTGGAAAACAGTCAACATATTTTCACTGTTGGGTAACACTGTTGCTGAAATTTTATCACTTAGCATTAGTGAAATTACCCATCTCTTATTAATAACACTAGTGGCAACACAGCTGACATGCTCAGCAACTTTCTTTTTGTTTCTTTTTTGCCTAAGCAAAATTAAACTATTAACCTCCACGTTTTTTAAAAGATACTGGGGCTTGCAAAGGTCCCAATGTTTTCAAAGTTGTAAACTGCTGATTTAGTTATGCCAGACAGAGGTATTTTAATTCAAAAGAGCATTGCTTCTTTGCTAAAAAAAGGATTTGGAGGCAACTGATTTTTTTCCTGCTATGACCATTAATTAAATGCAGGACATATCTGATACAAAAAACAATATAGCTAAAGGTCGGTGACCTTTATCCATAGACCCTCTAAAAGTGTCCAGTTTAATTTTTCAGCCATTATCAATATCAACTTTTAGTTTTTTGCAATAATCCGATTTTGAGGCAAAACTCTTCAGCTTTACTGTAAAAGCACAACCTCGGAGTAGGCCCCCTTTTTACTGTCTTGCACATTTTATTTTGGAATAGGTCGAAATGTAATGTAGGCCCCAGAGCAACAAATTGAATTTGAATTTGAAAAGGGGGAGTGAAGAAAGATAGAAAAGGGAAGAAGGATGTAACTTGTAATCATTTGCGAGAACAATCCCGTTGTGTTAAACTCTGCTAACCCTTATTTATGACTAACCATTTTTTTTCCAGAGGCAAGTTATTGCAAGATATTTCTATGCAATGTGTTGCAAACTTTCTCTGGCAAGGAATGGAGTTAATAAATTACATCAACATTATTTTCATGTGTTTTTTTTGTATTCATTAACAAACCACTCAGACCTAAATCACTCATGTAGTAAATTCTTTCCTTTTAAAGTCAGCCAGGAGTGGAAAGTAATTTTTTGGCCCCTCAAGGTCTCAAGGTGACTTTTCACTGGTAAAAGCAGAGCTGAACTTTAAAAACTTTTGCTGAAAGTTTGAGCAATTTCACAGTCTAAACATATTCGTATCTGCTGCATCTCCAGCTCATCAGCAGTCCTTTATTATCAGACAATGTGCAGAACCTTTATGATGTCATGTGATGTCACTTTGTTTCGTGTGTGTGTGGTTTTAGCAATGTGTACACCAGAGACATGCTTTCTATAAAAAGAGACACCAAATTAATCTGTACATAAATACCTAAAATCTTGCACACTTCTACAATACCCGCCTGTTTATAAAATATGGTGAGGTGTTTAGAAGGCACTGGACTACCACTTAGGATACAGGTCGTGGGAGGGAAACACGAATGCCTTTGACACTTCCAAAACGCTGATCTAAAATAAGGGGAACAAGGGCAGTCCTGCCAGGCAATGGCTGTGGAGAGTGATCATTTTGACAAGCATTAATGGTTTAATGTTAAAGGACGAGGCCACAGGAATCACGGTAAACTTCAATTCAGGTTTAATTCGGGTGTAAATACATAAAAATCACAATCCAATGCATTTTGAAAGAATGCATCCTTTTTATTAGGACTGGAAATAAAAAGAAAACAGAGGTCTAAATATTCATTTAAAGCTGGTCTGGGATGACTACAAGCTGGGCACTGTGGATTTACACTGAGGCTTCTTGTATCCTGGTGTCCTGCTTAGACATGTTAATGTAATTTAAAAATGACTGGATAAAAATATACAAAATTATAACTACTATAGGCAAGGAGAACACAATTTGACTGCTCTTGGTGGGTTAGTAAGCATTTTGTTTCCTCATATGTAGCAAAATTGGCAATATATGCCCAGAGGTTTAGTTCTACCTTTGTCTGAATCCAAACTGGTGGAGTTATGATAAGGTAAACATATATTTTTCAACCCAGTTAATCATATGCTGTAAATATATAGCTATGATCTGGACTGGGTACCTATTATGAATGTGGAACCATACATTATTTACATAATTAAGGTTGTAAACTGTTATTCACATCACTTTAACATCCATCCACCCTTTGGCTATTTTACAGCTATTGAAAAATTGCTGGAAGTAAGATAGGGATTACGGGCAACCCAACTTGTATGCCTGGTGTATGAAACTGGTAGACTAGAAGGAAGTGCTGTACATTTTATTTTACATTTTATCATAACACCTAGTGTATACCCTCTACAATAAATAAAGAAAAATAGGTCTGAGTTGCTAAAGTAGTGGAATAAGAACTGTAAAACATTAATTTCACTGCTCTATAAATATTGAAAAATCCACTAGGAAATAGATTTCTCCTTGGACAACTGCAAGGTCAGGCAACAGCAAGCTTGGAAATATAAACTTTGAAACTGCATGTTGAAAAGCTTTTAAAAAGGTTAAAAGGTAAAATCAACGGTTCTAGAAAAATAATTTTGTCCATTGCAAATATACTCCATTTAGTAAAGTCAATGAAAAAAAAATTACTAAAGGCTTTTAAAAAAAGGGGGCCAATTCCATATTAGCCAAGATTGTGGATATTACAGACAGTAAAGTATCTAAGCAGGCAGTATGTGCAAGGAGAGGCGTGCAAGGGTATGACAGTAGGCAGTATGGAGGTTGTTATGGGGGCAATATGTACAGGAGAGGAGTGCAGGTGGTATGACAAAGAACAGTACAATTATAATTAAGAGTCAAATTTGGTGCTAGCATCAAGACAATTGCATGAGAAAAAGCAATATCATAATATTTCCCTTGATAGTATTACCATGATGTTGTATTTATCAACATGATAGATACATTTTGCTTGAAGTTTAGGATTAGCTTTGGGAGTTAGGTTGAGATGTAGGTTAAGTTGAAGGGTTAGTTTGAGGTTAAGATTTAAAGGATAGATTTTAGGCTGAATTTTGGGTATAAAGTATAATGCATACTTGGCCCAATGTAAGTATGCATATGATATACCTGTTTGACTCACAAGGATCCTGTAAAGCAATGTAGTAGCTGGAGCTACTACAGTGACTTATAGTGATGTTCTGGGTCCTGCATGGCGCTTAGTTGATTGGCTTCCCCTCTGCTCTGTAAACACAGGGGGTTGCTCACGTCACACAGTGATTATACATGTGAAGTAGTCTTGGTAGGTAGGTACATTATTATACACGGGAGCATTAATCAGGTGGTCACCCGGCTTAGAAACAGGTTAGTAAGCTGATAATGATTTGCTGCAGGTATAGTCTGGTTACACATTTTTCCCTGTATATTTATTTTCCTTCTTTTATGTGTGTCTTAATCAGTTTGTTGTAAAAATTCCGCATCTTTATATATCCTTTTAATCTACAAGCTGTATCTGTTTTCTGTCCACACATACTACTCTGTAATGTGTTTTTCTCTGTTGTCTTTATGCAGAAGCCCAGCGTCTGCCATATTATGCCACCTACTGCCCTGCGCGCCTCTTAATTCACTCCGTCTGCACAAGTCATTACTTGGATATTTTCATTACGATCATCATTTGCCTTAATGTTATCACAATGTCCTTGGAGCACTACAGCCAACCAAAGGTGAGCTCAGAGTTCTACGTTTTCAAGCCGGCACAAATCTTGTTAAAAAAGTAAAGTAGATCTGTAATTTGCCAACAACATAAAGGGGAAAAGTACAGTTACTGTTTAGAAATATAAAAAAGTATTTGCATAGGTTAACTGAGTAGCTAAAGCACTTCTGTCCTAATTTGTTATTATGGTATGTTTATTTTCATTGCACTCTTTGTTGTTGGTAAAAAGCTTCTGATGCTTTTGTAAAATGCTAGAGGGCATAATAAAGGATTATCTGGTAGAATTTGTTCAGGAAAACGGGATAGTTAATGACAATCAGCATGGGTTCAGGAAAGACCGTTCCTGCCTAACTAACTTGCTAACTTTTTATGAGGAAAAACAATTGAAGATTTAAGTGTGTGACAAAAAAATTAGCAGTTAACCCTTTGAAATGCATTCAACCTTTTTTAGTAGCAAAAAATGTAGCTTATTTGTGTACCAATTGGCTGTGGATCAAATCATCTCTGAATTGGTGCTGACACTGTCCTTTCTTTCTGGAGGGTCACTACTTTTATTCCCCATATTCTCTGTGTGTGTTGTAAAGTAGCCACCACTCCAAGCTCGCTCTCGTGATGAACTACAAACTCATGTTTAGTTTACTCATTTGTATTGAGATTAAAGTCAATAATGGGAGTGAGCTTGGAGCGGTGGTTACTTTACAACACACAAAGGGACCATGGGAAACAAAAGTAGCCACCCTCCAGAAAGAAGGACAGTTTCAAGATGAATTCAGAGATGATTTGAGGATCTACAGCTGAGTGATAGACGAATAAGCTACATTTTTGTTAACATTAATAGGTACTTAAATGCATTTTTAAGATTTACGTTTAGTGTCACTTTCAAGTTCTATAGATTAAAGTTCTAAAGATGCTATATACTTACCTTTCCAATGTCCTGTGGCCTAAATCTTTACCATGTTGCTGATCTGTGGCTGCTACAGGTATCTTAAACTTCCAGGTGTGCCGAATACCTGCTTCCCTGCGGCACACTGTGGTTCCTCCGGCTAGCTTCTATATCCTGTAGTATTGTAGTAGCCTGCAAGAAGTACCACAGCATATGGTGGGTGTTCAGGCATTTGCCATATCTGGAATTGGCAGATATTTGCAGTGACCAGGGATCAGCAACATGCCGGAAAGATAAGTATACAGCATCTCCTTTTACAGTTTGGATACACGCTAGTTTTGACTTCATAGTGAAAGGGCAAGTTAAAGCTAAACTTCAGTGAGACACATAATTATAGAGATAAAATACATACTGTAAATGGAAGGTGTTTTACCTGATACACAAGAAACTGTGTATCTCTATTTAGTTCTTAAATTTAGAAATCTCTAACAGATAGTATAGCCAGGTTGGATATTTATGTTTCCCCTCCATTTATTGAAGAACACATAGATCTTTAGATCTAGACTAGTGGTGCACCGAAATGGAAATTTTAAAACCGAAACGGAACCGAAATAAAAAAAATTGTCAGGCCGATACCGAAACCGATACCGAAAATGTTTTTTATTTTAATTTTTTCAAATTTCTTTAAATATTTTATTTTTATTTATTTTTTTATAAACTTTTTTATTTTTTTATATTTATATTTATTTATTAATTTATTTAACAATAGTTTCCTATCGTCCGGCGACTCTGCTGCCGTCAAAAAGAAACGAAAAAAAAACTCTCCCAGGCACTCTGGGAGCCTCCCGCTCCCGGCCGCCCAGGAGAGAAACACTGCTTTTTCTTTTTTTTTCTTTAAGAGCCGATGCATATGCGTTCGGCTCGACTGAGCCGCTCGGCCACGTTCGGGAGCTGTACGGGCTATAGTGAATAGCACGTACAGCACCCCTTCGGTTCTACTGAACCGAAGGGGTCCTTCGGCCGAAGCTAGCCGAAGGATCGGCCGAAGCTATGGCTAGATCCTTCGGCAGCTTCGTGCATAGACCCCATAGTATGTTTACTATAACTACAACTATGCATGAACAGGAGGTGATGTAGATCACTTCCCTTTCATTCATAATTGAGGATATAGTTAACATACCATGTCCTCAATTATCTACAAACACTCAGCGATCACTGTTCGCTGATCGCTGAGTGTTTGTACCACTCTCCTCTCTGACACGCTGTCACAGGAGGCTGATTGAGCGGTGTACGGAAGAGAGCTCAGCCTCCTGTGACAGCGCGGCCTGTCTCTGCCCACACACCGCTCTGCCGGACTGTGATAGGAGGCTGAGCGGTGTGGGAGGAGACGCCCGCCATTCACAGCACTCTCCTCCTGCAGCGCTCGACCGTTTCTCTCCTCCCCGCTGGGACACAGAGCAGCGCCCAGCGGGGAGGAAAGAAAGCAGGGATGTGCCAATGTATCGGCAGGAAAATGGCACTTTCGGCATTATGCCAAAAGTGCCATTTTCGGCCGATATGTTTCGGCAGCCGATATATCGGTGCATCCCTAATCTAGACCATTGGTTTTTATTTCCCCCTGCAGAAGTAGGATGCCAGGTACAGCCAAAAGACGCTAGGGCAACCTAGTAAATCCTTGCAATATATTGCCCACATTCTATTCCTCAGTTTTGTGGTTTAAGCCCTGCCCAGTTGTCTTTTGCTAAACTTCTCATTCACATGTACTGAATGTTTTTTTATTTTTATTTTGCCCTGACATACACTTTAAATGCCTAAAGTGTAGACCATCACTTCTCTGTAAAATGTAGAGATTACAGTGTTAATATATTGTTAGAGTCATTTTCACGTAGTTCAGTGAACCTGCTTTTGAGTCAGTCATCCAATCTTATACTAAGTTCTTTTTTTTTCCTTTCAGTTCAACTGCACATAAATGTGTGTTTACAGTAAACTAGATTTACAAAATCACTCCTACACATATTTGACAAGATGTTTGCACAATCACCCTTCGCAACCTCAATCTCAATAGATGGTACATTTTTCTTTATTTATCTTTTTTCAGTCTCTTGAAATTGCTCTGAAGTACTGCAACTACATGTTTACTACAGTCTTTGTACTTGAAGCTGTGCTGAAACTGACAGCCTTTGGATTTCGAAGATTTTTCAAGGACAGGTAACTTTTCACTAAGAATGGTGTAAGATGAGATGTTTCCCATAAACATAAAACTGTGTTAACAATCCTGCTTTGCTGAATAAATAAAGAACAGAAGTGCTATAATACCAACCCTTCTGGAGGAAATTATGTTCCAGGCTTTCTCCAGTCCAGGCCACAAGACTAAAAGTCTAGTTACTAGTTATATGAGCATCACTTGAAGTACCATGGAGCATTTTATTTTTTCAGATAGGTAAGTACTTTAATCGAATTCACCAATGACAGGATCAATATGCAGGCCACAGCAGGGAAGTAAGACATACACCTGCTTGTATTGCTGTGTTACTCCCTCACCAACTAGATGAATCACTTTCTGGCTGACAACGTGCATTCTGCTGCATTTTCATCAAAAAGAGATAGCCACCTAGCTCATCCAGTGTTGGAAGGAGTGACACATACAAGCAAGTGATTGCTTTCCCTGCACATTTTAGGAATCCTGTTACTGGCAAGTTCTCACCAGCAACAGGATCACTAGTGTGACATGGGCCTTACTTTTTATTTATCTACCTCAGCAAGACTGTGAGAGCTGAGACTCAGAAGAAAGTATGAGGCTGTTGACAGCTCCCATGCTGAATTTCCCCACAAGCAGCTCCCCCCACACTCCCTCCTTGGTAATCCAGTAGGAGAGAAATCAAAGATCATATATTAGTGTGGGAGAGCTGAAGAATTCTCAGCTCCATGCAGTCTGGAGGGGAGGATTTGTGGGCGGAGACTGAGAAGACACACCCTCAGCTTGTTGTAGTCCTTCACATGAACCAGCACAGAGGGTGGCTACTTTTCAGTTCCCATAGGGACCATGGAGAAGAAAAGTAGACACTCTGGTAGGAAGTTGTGGCTAGAGAAATATAAAACAGATTTTGGAGCATTTGGAGCTGAACAATGACAAAAAAGACACACAGTCATTGATTATTTATATTTATATTATTTTCATAGAAGTTATTTTTATTATTTAATTTTTTAGTTTAGTGTCGCTTTAACTTAGTCTTAGTATTTTACATTTGTGCTAAAATTCACTGCAAAGTACATGCCCTTGTAATCCTTATTGTATATTTTAAATAAAGTAGTTATTTATTATCAAAATGTCTGCTATTAATACTAAACTTATAGTAAACCTGTTTTTAAAGAATTATTGAGCCCTCTGTTGTTTATGTCTCCTTCTAAAATGCTAGTTGCCTTGTTAAAGTGACATTAAACTCAGGAATTCAATCTTAGAAAAGCATTCAAGTATCTTAAATATTAACAGAAATGTTCCTTATTTGTGTATCACTCAGCTAGAGATCCTCAAATCATCTCTGAATTTATGCTGATACTGTCCTTCCTTCTGGAGGGTGGCTACTTTTGTTCTCCATGGTTCCTGTGTGTGCTGTAAAGTAGCCACCACTCTAAGCTCATTCCCATGATGTACTTTAATCTTTACAACACACACAGGGATAATGGGGAACAAAAGTAGCCACCCTCCAGAAGGAACGACAGTGTCAACATAAATTCAGAGATGATTTGAGGATCTACAGAAGGTTTTCAAAGTGCAAACTTTAATCCAAATCCTATTATAGTATGTGGGGCGATGGCAAATCTTGAAAATGAATTCTGGCCATTTTCAAGGCTAATAGGCAAGGGATTGTCAAAAAAAGGGCATGGGAAGTTGGGTGCTGCCATGGGAGGCATGTACCAATGCCAAATTACCTGCTATATGCAGTGTTACGGAATAGTATGTAGGAGGTGATTCTCTTTAGGGAAGACCTTGGAGTCCTTACAGACCACAGATCTAGTAATAAAATGCAATGGCAAGCTGCAGCTAACAAAGCAAGTAGAATACTATACTGAATTCAAAGAGGGATTGTTACAAGAGATACAAAAATAATTTCACCAATTTATAAATCACTGGTATTGGTACTCAATTTTATAAATGGGACGGAGGGCCTGGGTTATGAAGATCGCCTCAAGAAATTAAACATGTTCTATTTAGAGATGAGGCACTTAAGAGGGGATATGATTGCAATTTTCAAATTTGTAAATGGGGACAACAGTATTGGGAATAAACTGTTCAAACTAAGAACCCTAATGATGACACAAGACAACAACATGAGGTTGGATCGATCCTAGAGAATGTAAGGTTTTTTTCAGTGTAAGAGCAGTAAGAATGTGGAATTCCCTACCACAGATAGTGGTATTAGCTGAAAGTATAGATAAATTCAGGAAACTCTTCAATGAGAAGAAGCTTCATAGTATCTGTATTTCCCAGAAAAAAAGACAGCTAAATATTGTATTCACATACACATTAATGATGCATGTTAAATTCCACAGGAGAGACAACCATCAGCTTTTAATCAAAACATAGACATATGTAGTAATTGCCATGTTTTTTTACATTTTGATTTATGAGTCACCCTTAAATTGCTCTTTCCATGACAGCTCCATAACAGAATAGGTATAGCTCTGGAAATTGCCTACAACCCCTTCAGAAACATCATCAAGCAAGTTGTGTTAGTTGTGCAAGTTGAGTTGTGCAACCCTTCATAAGAGAGACTTGGCAGCTGATGTCTCAGAAACCACTAAGGCCACAGATACTGGCCTTAGTGATTGGATCGGTCACACACTGGTTCTACAGTGCAAGGGGCATGCAGTACCCTAAATGCCACAGGCAAAACAAAATTCTGCCAAAACTAGGGAGGAAGTCAGGATCAGACTTGCCATACCCTGGATCCATTGCATGTGTTGCTGGACTAACACAGGGGCAGTGTGTCCCAACTACATGCAAGCAGGAAGCTGCACGTCATCCAGTGACAGTGAAACAGCATGATGTCATCTGTCAGTTCCCCTGCCTATTCATAAAAACGTGTTGCTATATTTCAAGTATGACCACCATTGCCCGTCCCCAATATGGCTGTCAGCACTTCCTAAGCTCATGGTCACCAGCTCCCACCCCCACATGGCTTATAGTAATTCTTGTGGCCAGGCCGCAAGTGATATTGTTCAATAAGCCACATGAAGGCCCACTCAGGAAAGGGTAGAGAGCATGGGCAGAGATCCTATATGGGTTTAATGACGGCAAGAGCCAGAGTGAGTTTCTTGGTAGTGATAACAGTGGACCCAAAAATGCCATCCCGATGAACTGGTTGTCACCTGTTTCCCCCTCACTACTTTCCATGAAAGAACTCCTTTGCAAGCTAATGTGGCTAGATAAGCTTGATGCCCAATATAACTGCTCCTTCACAGACAGATTTTTTACCACCTGGACCCCATACTTGACATTTGAACTATCTCTACGTCAGTTAAAAGAGGTGATGGTTATATTCAAAGATACGGAATGGTGTCACAAAGCAAAACTGACAGGCACCTTAGGCACTTTAGATGTCCTTTGAAGCACTACTACCCAGTCAGGGCAGCCATCAGGGGGGTACGGCAGATACTCATGTAAGGGGCCCGGGCAGCCTGGGGGGCCCGTCCGGGTCCCTTACATGACTATCAGCCGATGGTGAAGGGCGAGGAGGCCTTGCCCTAGCAGCGCAGGGCCCCAGCATTGCAGCTCCAGTGGCTTTGAAACAAGCTAGGGCCCCATCAGCAACGCTGCTCGTCTGATGTCGGACTGGCCGGAAGTGACGTCACTTCTGGACGGTCCGGCAGCAGACGAGGCCATATGTGCAGGTAAGAGGAGCTAGGAAGGAAAGGAGGGAGGGGAGGGATGCAGCCCTGACCAGCCCACCTGAGACCCCTTCAGAGCCCACCATAGACAGTCTCAGATGGGCTGTGCAGCATCTATGGTGGGCTCTGCAGGGTCACTCTCAGGTGGGTCCTGTGTCCAGGGCGTCACTAAGCCCTGTGTCCAGCGGCACGGAGGGAGCCCGGCCTAAAGCCGTGTAAGGGGCCCTAAAATTTCTGATGGCTGCCCTGTACCCAGTAGATGCTAGTATGGCCCCGGCAATACCCTTCTAGTCCCCTAATACTCAATATCGGTGGCGCAACGCGGTTTCGGTGATGATTGTGATGCTTTTCGGAAAGTTAGTCATTTTAGTTATTGTTTGTTACTTTTGTTGTCTCATACAAGTCTGCTCCTGTAACTATTGCACCAAAGCTTGACTTGTTTTGTATTATTGAAAAAAGTTCAATAAAAATTACATGCTTTAAAAAAAAAAAAAACAGTGGACCATGCCTACACAATGTGTGTTGTACTCTTCATTGGAAGCATTGAGTGACATTGTGACAATGCAGGGACACAGATGGTAACCAGAGGGTCACTGTGTTCCCACCCTGTAACCGTTAGTGTCTAACCATGGAAGGTTGAAGAAAATAGGTCACCAGCACTCCATAAGTTAAAATGAATGAGTCCTTTTAATGGACAATGATGTCACAGAAATCCAACTGCCTTCGGTCAGCTGAACATGCCCTGCATGTTCAGCTGAGCTGAAGTGCAGAAGCAGTTCGACTCAGCCGATCCAACATCTGGATCGGCTTACCCGAAACTTCGGCAGTTCACTTGCTGCCGTTCGCCCCTATTGCAGAAGCAGTTCGACTCAGCCGATCCAACGGCTGGATCGGCTTAGCCGAAACTCCGGCAGTTTACTTGCTGCCGTTCACCCCTATTCTCATAGGGGCCAAACGGCAGTGAGTGAATAGCCGAATGCCGCTGAGTGGCATTCTGCTCGCTACCTCCGAAGTAGCAAGCAGAATAAAAAAAGTAAACAAAAGAAAAAAATAATTTTAAATGTGAAAAAATTATTTAAATGTAAAAAAAGTAAAATAAATAAAAATGTTATAAAAATAATTTAAAAAGTAAAGAATAAAAAACCCAGCATGATGTACCCCTTTCAACCCATACCGGACCCTTTAGATCTGGTAGGAAAGTCAGGAGGGACCCCTATTTGAAAAAAACAGAATAAAACGAGAGGTTCCCCCATAAGTCATAACAGGCCCTTTAGGTATGGTAGGAATTTTAGGAGGGACCCCCCCCAAAGTGAAAAAAATAAAACAAAGTCATACAAGGCCCTAAAGGAAGGTCTGGTAGGAATTTTAAGGAGAAATCCCACCACCTATATGCTTGGCTTGGCTGAGCCGTTCCCTTGCTGTATGGGCTACAGTTAATAGCCCGTACAGCAGCCCTTCATTTCTACTGAATCGAAGGGCTCCGGCAGCCAAAGTAAGCCTAAGGATCAGCCGAAGCTATGGCTGGATCCTTCGGCTCTTTTGTGAATAACCCTCCTAGAAACAAAACAGTCAAGAATTATGCATTCTAAATATAAAAGTTGTGATCAAAGGTCTGATGCTGCTGGCAATACTGCTATTACTTATGCTCTGACAAAAAGTTTTTAAGCAAGCTCCAATGTATTTTTATGTGGTGCAATAGAGAGATTATAGAAAAATATGACAGACAGATTGATGATACCTTTAAAATACGTAGAGGTGCAGATGCTTTAGGGTCAGGAGGGGCCAGACTTGCCGCCCTCTACAACTACTTATGTAATGAATCATTGGATGGATTGGCCAATAGTGTGGAGTGAATCAACTGAAATTCAGTTTGCCAAGAAAACAGAGAAGCAATCAAAATGTTTGACAATTTTTTTTGAATTTTCAATCAATGTTTTGAATTTTGAAGCAATTGCATTGAAGTCAATAGCAGGCGACCTTTGATGAACATTTGTGACCCCTTGAGGGACTGTTAGGCAAGCTATTGCCAAATAAATTGCATGGAAAGCCAAGCACTGCCAAAACAAAAAAGAAAGTACAAGATGGGGATGGGGCCTTTTCACACAGTGTCAAGGATGACATGTAAAATCTATAAATTCTTTACATCACAAGTTTGTAAGACGTCTTATAGCTTCACATAGTGTTACAGATTTCAGAAACATGTAGAAATTTAGTGCACTTGTTATTTCCTGTGTATTTAAATCTCAAACAATGTTTTAATTTTTCCAAGTTATCTTCTGTGAACAATAAAACCCAACTTCCCTGTGTAATGCAGTTGTGTTTATAGTCCAAGTCAGGAGAAAAGCCTATGACAACACTTCTCCATACATACAGTACAGTAATTCAGTGTATGTCAACCTAGGACAGGAAGTATGTTACTGGTAGGATCACCAGGAAAAAAAGGCTTTAAAAAGCTACCTCTAAGGACTGGTAGTCTGCAATAAAAAAAATGCAATATATAACTTTTTAATATTTGGTTTTAGATAAGCTTAAAGTGGAGACCTGTAAACATAGAGGCACAGACTGCACCCATTGCAAATTTGCATGAAACTCACCCACTTGAGGTGAATTTGAATATTGTAAATTCACCACAAATTAGTGGCAAATCCGAATCTCATCACTATTTCCAGTAGTATGAATGTCAGAAAAAGTATAAAGGCATTCATCTACTAATGCGTAACTCCTAATTTAGAAACTCCTGCTAGTTTCTAAATGTATGCATTAAATAGGAGCCTGGCAGAAAAGAATGCAGAGTGTTTCAGTGACTCCAACTTGCTTAGGTGCATGTTAGGGCTTTCTACCACAATGCAGAGAAACATAAAGTTCTCTTCACTCAAGGGTTATTCCAGCAACAACACAGCTATTTGTCACAAAGCTCTGTCAACCATCACAACCAGATAGATGTCAGTCCTATCCTTCCTGCTGGTCTGGCTCTCTTAGTCCCTAGCTTAGATTTCCAGTCTGCTCACACACAGACTCAGATTATACATCAGTCTGATTCTAGTTCCTGTCCACTTAGGCACATGCAGGCCTGGATGCATACTCCCAGCATGTGCTCCTCACATGTTGCATTAGCAGCAGTGCCCTGTCAGACTGCAGTCTTTTCCTTTGTGGGCAAAGCCCACCTCTGCATTTAGATAGCTCATCTGGGCTACTCATTCTAAGCTTTTAGGCACTCTTTTGCTTGTCATCTACCACATTTACACTGTGACAGCCAGAGCTTCCATCACCGAAGGCATATCAGGAAAAGAACACCATCTGATTTAAAAAAGCAAACACTGGAAAACAAAAGGATTATATTAAACACAGTGTGTGTGTGTATGTATATATATATATATATATATATATAAAATTGGACACTGGGGTAATAATTTAAGGAAAGGGGCAGAAAAAACACCTTGGGGTTTACTTTAACATTGGGTCTATACATGCTTTATGATTTCTGTAGTTTATGCTAGCATTTAAAGTAAGAATTTGTTTGCTTATTTTTGTATACAGGTGGAACCAGCTGGATCTGGCCATTGTGCTCCTTTCTGTAATGGGAATCACTTTGGAAGAAATAGAAATCAATGCAGCTTTGCCCATCAATCCTACCATTATCCGCATTATGAGAGTGCTGCGCATCACTAGAGGTAACCATAAATTATGATAAACTGTCTGCAGGAAAAACAACCTTAAATTCCTAATAGCACCCAGTTAAATTAAGACTTTTGCTGGGATTTTCCTATTAAGACTTTTCTTCCTATTAAGACTAAAATTAGGATTTTCTGATGCAAATGTAAAGATTTCCCTGTAATTTTAAACTTAGCTACATAACTAGTTTGATAAAGGTACATTATCCAGTTCAACTACAACACATTTTTTCTTGGTAGAGTGGGAAAGTTTAGGACTAGGGATCAGCTAAGGTTTGAACCAAACCCAGTCAGAATGTGAGCTCTTCCAAATACAGAAGGAACTCCTCCAAACATAGAAGGAAGATCCTGTTTGCAACCACCCTATCAGTTTTGGGTAGGGAATTCCCCACACGTAACTAAAGGGGTGGAATGCAGTGACATCACTGACCTTATATGGCCACATGGATATATTTGGTCAATGACACAGTACTAATGTGGCCATGTGGCCATATAAGGGCAATGATGTCAGCACAAGCATCCCACCTCTTTGTTTATGTGCAGCTGTAGGGCATGGAATATGCAGGTGGCCAATGGGACTTCCATGTTCAGAGGAGCTCAGGTTTAGACTGGGTTTTATTTTTTAATGTCCATCGATGTAATCCACAAGTCAATCACGTTGTCCAGCGATGTAGATCCTCATCAATCACAATGGACGACGGCCGCTGACTCACTGAAAGAAAAAACACCCTATGTCTGCCGACACCACTGATCCTGACGAACTCTTGTCGCAAAATGACAGCTCTGAACCGAATGACAACAAAGGGACGGAGCGAGTCATGATGTCATGGTAATTGTGCTTCCCCTTTGTTGACATTCGGGAGCAGAGTTGCTATTATGACAGTTCTGCTCCTGAATGTAAACAGAGGGGCGGGACAATTCCCGTGATGTCACAACTCACTCCGCCTCTTTGTTGACATTCAGGTCAGAGTTGTCTTTTTAAGGCGAGAGTTTGTGATTATGGTCAGGATCATTTGTGTTGGTAGGCGTTGTGGTTTTTTTTTGTGTCAAGTGGGCAGCCGCCATCCATAGTTATTGGCATGTATCTACATCACTGGACAACGTGTTTGACTTGTGGATTACAGGCATTGTGTTTCCCTTTTTCTGTAATCACCCTGACTTCATTTTCCCATACATTTGAAGCAAGGTAAACAGTCCAAAATATCTGGGGAATTACACGCAACAGGATTACTGCACAAAAGCTACCTCACTATGAATATATATGCTCTGACAAACTAAACATTACAGCCTCTATTTTTACCTGCTATACAAGCATGAATGAGAATCAATCCTTTCTTCTTCACCTATTTTCAGATTTGTCATGCCCTAATGTGATGGACAAGACATATCTGCTTATTGTCATTTTTCCTTCAACTGCTTCCCATCCTTCTTTTTTTCCCAATTCTTTAAAAAAAAAAAAAATGCATTCTGAAAAAAAGAAGGCTTGTCCGCTAGATACCAAGGATTAATACAGGCAACTGATTTACATAAGTATCTGCAGGACAAAGCAGCTGCCTGGAAAGTGACATTCTCTACTGTGGAATATCTTAAAAGAACAGTACACTTATTTTTACTTTAAGCAATGGAAATGAATTGTTTGCTACACAGTGGTACTGGGTACCAATATAGATTTGTGTGCTCAAAAAGGGACAATTTTAGAACTAATTTTACAGTCTAAAAAGTTAGTAATAATATAATATCCATGCCTACGAATACTGCAGTGTTAATATTTTGATCTTCAATTGTGTGAGTTCTATGTTTTGCTTTACCTTTTTGCTAACGATTTACTTTCAGCGGGTTGCCGCCTCTTAATGGTGTTATATAGTATTTTATTTTACATTTTGGTTTTCACTGTATCACAGGGAAGAGATGGGAAGAGCACAGTTATCAGATGAGAGCTGTACCCATATAGTTACATCCAAAAGTAGCACGTTTAGTCATGCACCTGTTTCCAATTTGTATTTATTGTTTTGTGTTTCCTACTGTAATTTCTGTAAAAATCTCAAACTATGAAGGCAGACTTCTTACTGTTGGTGGTAAACACTTGCATTGCAAAGTGATTTGGATCAACATTACATTCTGCATCAGTTTTCTGCACTTCTTTGGAGAGACACATCTTATCATAGTTATTGCTCTCTTTGCATTGCTGAACTATCCATCTTTTACACGAGAAATTCAACTATTTTATTTACTTTATGGGGTGTCTTTTCCCATGTTTAAACACAGGATTCACACATTTTCTAATTTTCAGGATACACTTTTTAAAAATGTGTAAATCCTGGATGAAAGTTGTGTGAATCTTGTGTGAAAACATTTATAAATAGACCCCTATTTGCTTCAACCATGCGTTTTAATTATACATAAGCAGCTTTGTGGAGTCAAGCAATAACGGTTGCTTTACTTAGAGCAATATCAGCAACCGGAATCATGAGTTCCTCTTTCTTTTCTTTCCATTTCCTCATGTGTGTAAATACCTGTCTTTCTCTGCAATTTATATCAATACAATATAATACCATCGGAGGGCGTATTAAAGGTCAGCATGCTATTGAATAATCATTCCTCTGAAAGGTTTACAATGTTTACAATTTGATGCTGCATGCCGGCATACCCCAATTTCGGTGAAGTATATGGGTGTTAACTTGTATATATAGCTTCTGGTGCTGCAAATATACCACTTTTACATTACATCTGAGAATTCAAAAATATTTTTTGTCCTTGGCATCTGGAAATAGAGCACAGCAGATATGCTGCTGTATCACACAAATCTGCTATATCAATTACTAACCTCGTCTCAAAATATCACCCAGACAGTCCACTCCACTCCTCCCAGGACCTCCTGCTTTCTAGCTTCCTGGCCACCTCTAATGCTCACCCCCAGGACTCCTCCAGGGCCTTTCCCATCCTCTAGATATCGCTACCCCTTCTATTCGGCTATCTTCTATCTTGTCTGCCTTTAGGCGATTCCTGAATTATTATTTTTTCAGGGAAGCCTATCCCACCGTCTCCTAAAAACTATTTGTCTGCTCTTTCAATCAGCTCATCCCTCATCCCATCTCAGTTATTGCCTTCTGTATCACTTGCACCTCATTTTTTTTATTGTATGCTCTGTTGAGCAGGTCCTCTCTTACTAATCCTCTCTTATGGAATTGTAACTGTGATGTCTCCCCTTATTTTGTAAGGCTCTGCAAAAACTGTTGGCACTATATTAATTATGTATGATAATCAAATTCTATATCCAACATCTAACTGGAACACCATAACACAGGGCTCACACTTAACCAACTAATGCTATGAAATATCATCATAAAGGGAAAGGAAGGGAAAGGGAGGTGAAATTCTTAAATTAAAACACACACAAAAAAATGAATAACAAATCCAAAAGGGGTTTTTAATGTGTCAAAAAGCTAAAAAAAACAATTAAGGTAATAAAAAAAGTTATTGTTTTATTGGTATAGTGTTACAGATTTAGAATAAATATTTATTCAGCAATCCACTTTATGGTGCATTCAAAATGATGTGTAAAAACATATTTTCTTCCAAAAACCTTTTAGTTTAAATAACTTTTTAAATGCAATTATGGTTTTGACTAAATGAAACAGTAAACAGTAAGACAGTAAAGACTTTTCATTTAGTAAGACTAAATGAAACAGTAAAATGATCAGTTGGGAGTTTGGCTACACTGTTGATATGCATTCATTGTAACACTGTGTTCTCTTTCATTGTCTTTAATCTCCAGTGCTGAAGCTGCTGAAAATGGCAACAGGCATGAGGGCATTACTGGACACTGTCGTACAAGCTCTCCCACAGGTAATGAAAAAGCTGTCCTACCTGGTAGGTCATTCACTCTTGAACATCGGTATCCTTGATAGTTTTTTTTGTGCTTTTTTATACACTTTTTCTGCATTTTCAGGCTTGGGCTTTTTTGTTTCAGTCAATGGAAATCTAGTTTCTAGGAGGAGACGGTTGTTAGATGCAAAATTGCATGAAAAATTAGCATTACACACTTTTTTTAGGTTCTTCTTTGCCCCAAAGAAGCTCCTGTACTTTTCTCAGCACCACAAATCACTCAGATGTGATCAGGTACACTAAAATAACGTGGAAATCTGAGCATCGAGTGTTGAAGCACTTTTGGGAACATGCTTCAAATGAATGGTGACTAAAATCCTTTGTGTGATAAATAATGCACACTGTGATCGTTCATTAGAAAAAGAAATTTTTTTCCTGCAGGATGTAGCACTGCCATCCTTAAGGTACGGTTAACACAAGCAATTTGTTTAGCATTCAATGTCCCAAGATAAGATGTACACATACATGAACATTTTTTTTACTTTTTCTGTAAGGACACAGGAGTTTATTTTAGCACCAATATATGTAGTTGTAAGCACTACAAGGTGTCTGCCCATTAGCACTGTTATTATTGTATACACTTTTTAGGTCAGATCAGGTCAGGTTCACTTTAGCATGGTATCCATGCTCCTGTTGAAAGGATCTGGGATTTTGGTTTCCACAACCCATTTTACATTCTGAATTGTCATAAGTATAAAAATATATCCATGTGCCACATACTAGAAATAACCTTCTAAGATTTTACACAATGACTGATGAATGCTAGAATGCAAGGATACCTCAATGGGACACAGTCAAGTACATGCTCTTGGCATATATAATTTTGCAGTGGCTGTGTGGCGAATACAATACAGCACTTAGTAACCCAAAAACACATTCTGGACTGCAAAATACCCCATTTTCCTGACTCTCAATAGTGAATCAGCTCCAAATAATCAGGCACGACCAAACGGTTAGTGTTCACTATCATTTGTGCAGTACATTGATGAATGTATTGTTTCATGTGTTAATGTGCATTGCATTAACCACTTGCTGACCAGGTGTTTACAGCCCCTTCCTGGCCAGGCCATTTTTCAGTATTTAGCACTGCTGTATTTTAATTGACATTTATTCCATCATGCAATGCTGTAGTTAAATTAATTTTAGACCATTTTTCGGGGACAGATAGAGCATTCTTTTGGTGGTATTTAATCACCACTGGGGTTTTTATTTTTTACTATATTAAGGAAAAATTACTGAACATTTTGAAAAAATAAAAGTTTTCCCCCCCATTATGTTAGGAAACAATTATTATTACTCAATTTTTTGGTAAAATACAAATGACGGGGTTACGTCGGGTAAATGGAAACCAAACATGTCAAGCTATAAAATTGTGAGCACCCACGAAATCACAAAAAACTACCACTCTCAAAATTGACCATAGGCGACCTTTAAAAGCTTTTACTGCTCATCATGTTTGCATGCGTGTATGTATGGGTGGGGACTTTCAGAAAAAATCGTTTTTTTTCATTCTTTTTTATGTGTAACTTTAAAAAAAATTTGGGGAAACTTAATTTGTTTTCCTATTTTTTTTTCACTTAACTTCATTGTTATCACATAGGAGGATACAAAAAAACTCCTATGTGATAGCAAAGATATTTGACAGGTCCTCTTTATGGAGACATCAGGGGTCTCCAAGACCCCTAATGTCACCTAGGACCCACCCAAAGAAGCTGATGAAGCAGAGATCTGCTTCATCGCCTTCTCTCCAGCTTCTGAAGCTGGAGAGTGACAGCAGAATGCAGGAAGTGATGTAATATACATCACGTCCGCATTCCTACAGCAAAGAGGGGACTGGAGGGAGATCGCGTACCGATCTCCCTCTGATCTCCTGTCAGAGAGCCACAATGCTGGTCCCGAGCTTGCACCGGGCACAGCGAAGCCAGGAACCAACGTGACAGCAGGGGTGGGGGTTGCGGAGGGCGACACACACACGTACCAGCAGCTTATAGAAGCGATCCGCCGGCTCTATAGCCGGCAGATTGCTTGTATGTTAACAAGCATCACTGCCCGTTTTTAAATTTTGGGACTTTCCCGCGTGCAAGTGGGCGTGGCTGAGCGGACATCTAAAGATACCCATTCAGATCTAGGGAGCTCCTGGCCGACCATTTTTATACGGCCGGCCGGGAGGTGGTTAAAGTGTAGTTCCACTTTTACAGTCAAATTTGAGAAAGCACCACTATATGTTTATGTGAGCCTATTCACACATTATGTTTAAATGTATTTCTTACGTTTTAGCTGTTTCTTTGTTGAAAGTCTTTGTGCAGATTCCAAGCTACTCTGAGCAGTTTGAAACTGAAACTAGATGGTCTGAGAGTCAGACTGAGCTTCTTCTCACTAACATAAAATGTTTTAAAATCTTTAACCTTTGTTAGGACAGACAGTGTTCAAATCTAGTGTACAAATGATAAATAAATCCTGCCTTTAGGCGATTCCTGAATTATTATTTTTTCAGGGAAGCCTATCCCACCGTCTCCTAAAAACTATTTGTCTGCTCTTTCAATCAGCTCATCCCTCATCCCATCTCAGTTATTGTCAGACGTCCCAGGGAGCTAGTAGTGAGATGAGCAACCCACTGGCAATAAGCAGCTGACAGTCCAGAAACGCGGTACAAGTTTAGGGATAATCCAAGAGGGGTAGTCAATGTCCAATCCGGGTCGAGGCAGGCAGCGAAGGTTCAAAGGCAGAAGACAGTCCAAGGGTCGGTAATCGGGAAGGATACACAGGGGCAACAGGCAATAGGAGGATCAGCAGGGAGGCTAGGTGTTCACCATAAGGTGGAATAACTCAGCAATAAGCCAGAGCTCAGGCCAGGTTTTTATAGCCAGGGGAGGTAGGACCACCCCCTGGTCACTGAGGCAACCAGGAGGCCTCCCTCCCCGGGAACCAATGGCAGGCGAGGAAGATGGAAGGTGTGTACTGGGAACCTCCCCCAGCAAGGCTCACACCTGATAGCCAGATGATGCAGGAACGCTATGCTCCCGGGGATGCGCGCGCAGCCTGCGTACTGCGCATGCGCCCACGCCGCATGACTCGCGCATGCGCACCTGCACCTCGGGCACCAGGTGTTCTACCGAGCTGAAGGGGAACCCGTGCCCTGTGCCGTGCCCATGGTCCCCGAGTAGAGGTAACACCCCCTGCTTCCTGACAGTTATTGCCTTCTGTATCACTTGCACCTCATTTTTTTTATTGTATGCTCTGTTGAGCAGGTCCTCTCTTACTAATCCTCTCTTATGGAATTGTAACTGTGATGTCTCCCCTTATTTTGTAAGGCTCTGCAAAAACTGTTGGCACTATATTAATTATGTATGATAATCAAATTCTATATCCAACATCTAACTGGAACACCATAACACAGGGCTCACACTTAACCAACTAATGCTATGAAATATCATCATAAAGGGAAAGGAAGGGAAAGGGAGGTGAAATTCTTAAATTAAACACACACAAAAAAATTAATAACAAATCCAAAAGGGGTTTTTAATGTGTCAAAAAGCTAAAAAAAACAATTACGGTAATAAAAAAAAGTTATTGTTTTATTGGTATAGTGTTACAGATTTAGAATAAATATTTATTCAGCAATCCACTTTATGGTGCATTCAAATATTGCTGGGATCCACCCCGCTACCTGATGGACAGCTGGATCTGCCACTCTTAGACCTCTGTCTGCCCCCTCCCCATTTTGTCCCTCCAGTCAGCGCTGGAGTAACAGAGAGGGGAGGGGGTATTCCCTGCCAGGAGAAGTTTGTGAATGGAGTGATAGGCTCATTTTTGTCTAGGTGTTAAAAAAAAGTTATACTCACCTTAGCTGACTCCCTGCTTCTCTAGTCACTGAAGCATGTCTTCTCCTCCATTGCACAGATGGAATATTTCTCAGCATCCTCATGTCTATAAACTTGTGTAGAACATGATGGCACAAGGATTCTTAGATCTCCACAGAGGAGGGGGGGAGACAGGTCTAGGACAAAACTGGCTTGAATGATCGGTTGAGTATATAAGTTGGTTTTTTTTAGCACCTAGACACAAACCAACACTTTGTGTTCCCACTTCAAGGATTAATAAAACTTTTTCCCAGAGTTCTTCATTAAGGCGGCTCCTAATATAGGGGATCTTATCAACTAAATATTTTCATAATATGATTATGGGAACTTTTTGAACATGTGGGGGCATGGTAAGCTGGTATACCTTGCTGTATTTTAGCAAAAATAATTGTGCAGATAAATAATCAGGCTGCATGCATTTTATGGTGACCTCCCCAGCCTGGTAATACTGTTAGATTCAATGGAAGATAAACTAAGATAAACTAAACTCTCAAGATCCCCATGTAAGATTTTGACTAACCTAAATACCCCCCAGTGAGCATAAAGCCAGCTATTGCATAACAACAATGTGTGAATATGGCCGCCATATTGAGTGGGGCACCTGAGATTAATAACGTGCTGGATTACTGTGATCCTAGTTCATTTTAATACTTCATTGCTGTGGTGTATGTGTATAGGGCAATGCCGCGGCTGGCGCTTGGGCAGAAGAGCTTTCTTGGCCAAACCTCTTAGCTCCAACTAAACCGGAAGTCAGGCAGTTGGAGAACCGATAAGTTGGAACTTTTGAAAGAACACCGGCCGAGCGCTGCACAAGGAGAGCGCTGTGAGCGGCCGGTGTCTCTCTCCCACACCGCTCAGCCTCCTATCACAGTCCGGCAAATTGGTGTGTGGACGGAGACAGCCCACGCTGTCACATGAGGGCTGAGCTCTCCTCCCTGCTCCGCTCGCTCAGCCTCCTGTGAAAGCATGTCAGAGAGGAGAGCAAGTGCAAACACTTAGAGTATGGTTACTATAGCCTCAATTACGAATGAATGGGAAGTGATGTACATCACCTCCTGTTCATTCATAGTTGTAGTTATAGTAAACATACTCTGTCCTCAT